GTAAAATGTTTCGTTTGCTTTCTTAATGTTTTTGAATTTCTCGATTGTCATGGATTAATTGTTCTCGCCATAAGTGCTCCTTAAGTTCTTGTCAACAAATAAGAAACGTCTCTTATACCCACCATGAAAAAGTTTTACAACAACTAGTTTACAAAATTGTAACGCTTAGAACGAAACTTAACGCTTTAGAGCGACAATCCCTTTCAATGAAAAACGAATCAATTAAACCCTTTATGGAAATCATGTTGTTTTATTTTTTTAATTACTTCGGGAATCCTTACGCTTGTGAATTGCTTATATGCATCCAAAAGGCTTTTCTTTATCCGCAAGGTATTTCTGATTCACTTTGAACCCAAATGTGAATGTAAATATGTACGAAAGTGTAACATGTCCTTTTATTTCTCCTGTTCTTTTTATATCATCCGTATTCAACCTGTTATGTCCTTGAATAAATGTTGATTATATTTCTGTATATAGATGAATATAAAATATAACAAAGCCAAATAAAACTGCATATATATATATAAATATATATGTAAAATCGTACACCTTTTATGTATGTAGCAATGTATGGATATGTGTACATCGCCTTTTCAAATGTGTTGATTTATATATGTTTTTAGTAAGAGCTGCGTATTGAAGTGTAGACGAAAAGGGATTTACCTGAAATACTCTCATCATTATACTGCTCATTAAATAAAATAATTTATATGTTTTTTTAATACTTCTTCCAAAGTACCCCTAACTCAAGGATTTTCAAATTAATTATAAAAATATACTAAGATACCCTTTCATGTATTTCTACTATTTTTTTGTGTTTTTTTTTTTTTTTTATAATTAAAAATGAAGAGAATAGTAATTAAAATAATATGAAAAATAAAAGAAGATAAAACAAAAGAAATAATTCAGAAAAAAAGGGAATAAAATACAAGTTCCATTAAATTAAATATAATATCATCTTACAGATCTAAAAATTTTATAATTGGAAAAAAAAAAAACACATTCTTTTTTCCGAATTACAAGTAATTAAAAGTTTACATAGGTTTTATATCTAATTTAAGTATAATTATGTAATAAATTGTACGGCTAACATTTCAAGTCTACTCATACGATTATTTTTTATGAAATATGTATCGATTAAACAAAAAAAAAAAAACACAAACACACACTTTTTATAATAACTTTCCTTCAACTGTTATGAACACACAATATCAAATTTCACACAAATTTAATTAAAGTTCGAAAACCATAAAATTATTTTATAATAGAATTTTCAAACACTGCAATGGTTTGACAAGTGCGATATAATTTACAGTATATAAGAGTAAGTAATAGTGTGGGTATGAACTCAAACTAAATTTTGCTCAAGCTAGGATCTATCTTAACGCGGCTTTCAACTCCAGCTATTAGTTTGTGTTCTAAAAGTACTGTACTTACGGTGTGCTCCAGCTCGAAACATCAATTTTCTCTTTTTTTAGAAGTTGGAAGTGCTTTGCAAAAAATCCTCTCATGGAATTATAATATGGATAATAAATTTCTCAATAAGGGAAGCTTTCTCATCGAATTTTCGTTTTTATTAACCGGATTCCCTTTGACAATATTTTGTAAGTAAGTAATGGCGAGCAAACTTTCTGCAAATAAGCTGACGTCTTACCTCAGGTTACTCGTAAGTATTGGAGTGTTTTTGATCGCAACCATTTAAAGTTTGATTTATAAGCGAAAGCTGAGAATCAATTTAAAATTTTTAATTTTTCATATTCTTTTTTGTTACCTTGAAAATTGCAACAACAGATAACAGATATACGAACGGACGATCGTAAAGGTATCAAGCGAGTAATGTATATATGCTTTATTAAATCCCTTACGGTTATATCTTTCACGGAAACATTTCCAACCTTGGTTGAAATTGTAAGAGACACGTATTTTGAAACTAGAGTAGAATGTTCTAAATAAAGGATAGAAAATAAAAAATATGCTGACAAAGCAGTAGAAGACTATATTTCAAAAATCTTGACCAATTTTCCAGCTTTCTTGCTTAGATGTGAGATTGTGGTTGGCCGCCCCTCTTGCTCTCTGTTGTTCATATTCTCAAAGCAAAAAAAATTCAAATTTAATTTTAAAAATTAATTTTATAACTAAAAGTTGCTTGAGAATAATGAGGTAGTCCTCAAAAAAGTACGAAAATATAGCGCCTGTGGTTCCGAAAGCAAGCGTAAATAAAATAGAATTTTGATTGAGATTAGGATCAATATATTTTTTAATATATTGCTTACACCTTCCCGTCATTAATCATTCAAATGTCCTCCATGGGACTTCCTGGAAGACTGAATCCTTTTGAGGCAATTAGTGACGACTTTTCAACACATAGTTCGGCCCAAACTTGACCGACTTTCGTTTTCAAAGCAACAAGAGTTTGTTCGATAAGTTCGATCCTTTGCTTAACCCCTTAAAAAGAAAACTCTATGGCGAGAAATTGCAGGATTTTGATGACGACTTCACATCAACAACGGAGAGCACGATTGCCAAATCCTCGGCGACACTAACCGCTCGTTTGCTTTTATAGTTGTTTGGCGGCAATCACTGTTGTGATACCTTTCGTGGACGCGCCTTTTTTCATCCCAGCACAACCACGGCGCAGTACTCGCCGCTCCTCCATCGGTCTACGGCTGCAGCGCCACTACAGGCTTCATGGCATCTTTCGTAAACAATGTTTTTCTGAATCCGTATTGGATATCCGCAGAGAGAAAGAGAGAGAGTAAGAGAGAGAGAGAGAGAGAGAGAGAGAGAGAGAGAGGGAAATAGAGATAGAGAGGGAGATAGAGATAGAGAGAGAGAGAGAGAGAGAGAGAGGTACAGAGAGAACCTTCCTGTATGGTCATTTCCAGCTTCTTTAACCCTCTAACAAATATCTTTAGAAACGGTTCACGTCCTGTCATCTTCATCAAGAAGACCGAAAGACCGCTGAAAGGTGAAAGTGATTCTGCCAAAAAATTTAAAGTTTGAAATGGAGTTTGATTGCTTCAGGATTACAAATTTTCTTTTCATTCTTTCGTCCACATGCTGTACGTACGATTTTGTCGAAACAAAAACAGTACCATTAAGGGAAAGAGAATGAGAAAGAAATATTTCAAGAAGGCCTGTCACACGACAGTGAATATTTGAAGCAGTGGATAATCAAAATATAATCTGGATATTAATGTCCGACTTATTTATCAGAACGAGTCTAACTTTCCATCGAAATTGAAATGTTTAAAATTTATTGTACTAAGTTAACATATTCCAAGGTTTATCATTTAAACGAGTGTAACTGTAAATTGTAACGCACTTTTTTATTGTATAAAGAATATCTTTAGCAACTATTTTCAAAATTCAGTCAAAATCAGTTGCCAAAAAATTGTAACATAAAATTTATTTTATTATTGATTTTTTTTAATTTAATTACTTCTTTTACGCAAAAATATTAAAAAATTTTATCATAAAAAAATTTATATTCCTAATAAGTAAGTGTTCGTTTCATTTAAAAGCGAGTGAGCCAACAGTTTTTCGACGATTTTTTCTTCTTTTTTTTATTGATTTGTTTTCAAAGTAATTTTTTATGTTTAAAATTTTTTAGTAAAAATAAAACTTTTGCCAATGTTTATAAAAAATAGCTATTTTTATTAAAATAAATTTTAAAAAAATAATTTCGTTCTCTTTTATCTTTTTTCATATTTTCTTTAAAAAAAAAAAAAAAAAAAACGAACCAATATAAAATAAATAAACATTTTTGGCCACTCGCATACATATTTATATAAAAAAAATGAAATGTTTTGGGACTTTTTACAAAATGCACTACGAATTTTTGATTTTTGCGTGATGCCTCGATATGTATAAAAATAATAAAAAAAAATAAATAAATAAATAAAAACAACAATATTACATAATACTTTATATAACCATTCTATTTCTCTCTATTCCTATATTTATTGTGCCTCTGCGTGTGTTTGTGTGTGTGTGTGTGTGTGTGTGTGTGTGTGTGTGTGCGTTGAGTCTGTGTAATTATTTTTGAAAAAAATATACTGAATACATATGCATTTATATGTATATATATACATATATATATATATATAATAATAATAATACAATGAACTTAATCAACAAACTGAACGTGTTGTTTTATATACATTGTGTTGGGTGTTCGTTCGTTCGTGATAAACTAAAATAAAAAAAAAAAAACATTTTTTAAATATTTACGAAATTTTTAAACGTCATGCCATTCCTTCTGTTATTAATTGTTCATGTGGATGATTATGGTTAACGAAAAAAATATTTTTTTGAAAATATTACAAAAATACAATTACATAAATATCGTAGAAAAAAAGAGTGAGTATTTTTTTGATGGTTGCTTATCAAATATAATAAGATTGTTTTTTGAAACTTTTTTCCAATATTACAAAAAAAAAAAAAAGTAGGATATTAATTAAAATAAAAACCATTTTATTAAAACTTATTAATTAAGAAATAAATATACTTTTTTTTTTATACTTTTTTCTTAAATAAAGAAATTTTTTGCGTAGCCTCAATTGTAGCACCAGAAGAAAGGATATTTTTTGCATTATTTTCATATTTTTTCTATATGTTTGAAAATTTTTTGTGAATGTTTTTAATGTACTTTAAAAGGAAAAAAAAAAAACAGCAATAAATTTTTTTTTATTTTTGGTGATGTGATAATGGTTTTTTTTTTCATTTAACATTATAAACTATTTAGTTAAGGTAGTTAAAATAATTGATATTATTTAGATAACTATCTTCGATACTATTGTAAATTTTAGGTATTTTTATAGTCTCACCAAACTTAGGTTAAACATTACTTTTAAAGTGAGACTTGCAGGTATTTACGGATTTATATATAAAAACGTTAAGTATCTTATGTAATTTAAGATCTTCTTATATAAGAGACACCTTCAGTGAACTTCCTTGTTAATGGCTTTTCTTCTCTTCGTACACTTTAAATGGTTTAGTGCCTGGAGATCCTCAAGATGTGAAGGCAAATTCGTTAAATTCAACTTCAATACACGTTAACTGGAAACCTCCTCTTGAAAAAGATCGTAATGGTATTATTAGAGGCTATCACATACATGTGCAAGAAGTCCGTGATGAGGTAGGTCGAACGTCTTCCCATTTAATATTTCAAATCTTTTTATATTCAATCGTGTTTTTCAAACTTTTTATTTTCATTAGGGTAAAGGTTATCTAAATGAACCTCTTAAATTTGACGTTGTGGATGCCTTGGAATTTAATGTGACGGGCTTACAACCCGATACTAAATATTCCATACAAGTGGCGGCTCTTACTCGGAAAGGCGATGGCGACCGTAGTGCTGCTGTCATCGTCAAGACACCAGGTGGTGTGCCGGTACGACCTACTGTTAGCTTAAAGATTATGGAACGCGATCCGACTGTTTCAATAGAATTGGAGTGGGAACGTCCTGCTCAAACCTATGGTGAATTGAGAGGCTACCGTTTGAGATGGGGAGTCAAAGATCGTGCTTTAAAAGAATTGCTAATGGGTCCCCACGAAACGAAAAAGCCTTTCAAAGATCTTGAACGCGGTGTCGAGTATGAATTTCGTATAGCCGGCAGTAATCATATCGGTATCGGCCAGGAAACAGTTAAGATATTCCAAACTCCTGAAGGTGTCCCAGGCGGACCACCTTCAAATATTACCGTGCGCTTCCAAACACCAGATGTAGTATGCGTTACCTGGGAACCTCCCACGCGAGAGCATCGCAATGGCATTATTACTCGCTACGATGTTCAGTTTCATAAGAAAATTGATCACGGACTGGGTTCGGAAAGAAACATGACTTTGCGGAAGGCTGTTTTTACGAATCTAGAGGAAAATACCGAATACATTTTTCGGGTGAGAGCCTACACTAAACAAGGTGCCGGGCCTTTTAGTGAGAAAATTTTAATAGAAACAGAACGGGATATGGGACGTGCTCCTATGTCAGTTCAGGCTGTAGCTACCTCAGAACAAACTGCAGAAATTTGGTGGGAACCGGTGCCTTCGCGTGGCAAACTGTTAGGTTATAAAATTTTTTATACGATGACAGCTGTAGAAGACCTTGATGAATGGCAAACTAAAACGGTTGGCTTAACGGAATCTGCAGATCTGGTAAATTTAGAAAAATTCGCTCAGTACGCTGTGGCAATTGCAGCTCGCTTTAAGAATGGTTTAGGAAGATTAAGTGAAAAAGTTACCGTCAAAATCAAGCCCGAAGATGTTCCATTGAATTTACGCGCCCATGACGTTACTACGCACTCCATGACTCTGAGCTGGTCTCCGCCCATTAGACTGAATCCTATTAATTATAAGATTTCCTACGATGCCATGAAGGTTTTCGTAGATTCTCAGGGCTTCTCACAAACGCAAATCGTACAAAAACGTGACATTATCTTAAAAGCGTATGCTAAATCGCACACTATCAATGAGCTAAGCCCGTTTACCACCTATAACGTTAATGTAAGTGCCATTCCATCGGATTACTCATATCGTCCACCCACCAAAATAACTGTAACTACACAAATGGCGGCACCTCAACCTATGGTCAAGCCGGATTTTTATGGTGTAGTAAACGGCGAGGAAATCTTGGTTATCTTACCGCAGGCCTCCGAAGAATACGGCCCTATTTCTCATTACTATTTAGTTGTGGTACCGGAAGATAAATCTAATCTTCATAAAAACCCTGATCAATTTCTCACAGAAGATTTACTGCCGGGGCGCAATAAACCTGAGCGTCCTAATGCCCCTTACATAGCCGCCAAATTTCCTCAGCGTTCTATTCCTTTCACCTTTCATTTAGGTTCTGGTGACGATTATCATAATTTTACTAACCGTAAATTAGAACGTGATAAACGATATCGAATTTTTGTAAGGGCAGTTGTGGATACACCGCAAAAGCACTTATATACTTCTAGTCCGTTCTCGGAATTCCTTTCACTGGATATGCGTGAAGCTCCACCCGGGGAAAGACCGCATCGACCTGACCCTAATTGGCCTTCTGAACCCGAAGTTTCCGTGAATCGGAACAAAGATGAACCTGGTATGCTATGGGTGGTCCTTCCGGCAATAGCAGCTTTAATACTTTCCACTACATTTATTATCATCTATGTAATTAAAAGAAGACGCCAACCATGTAAAACGCCCGATCAAGCAGCTGTTACGAGACCTTTAATGGCGGCCGACTTGGGTGCCGGTCCGACACCAAGCGATCCGGTCGATATGCGCCGTTTAAATTTCCAAACACCTGGCATGATATCGCATCCTCCAATTCCTATATCGGAATTCGCCAACCACATAGAACGCTTAAAAGCAAATGATAATCAGAAATTCTCGCAGGAATACGAAAGCATAGAACCTGGTCAACAGTTTACCTGGGATAATTCCAATTACGAATATAACAAGTCGAAGAACCGTTATGCCAACGTTACGGCTTATGACCATTCGCGAGTTATTCTACCGCTTACGGATGGTGTGGTTGGTTCAGATTACATTAATGCCAATTATTGCGATGGATATCGCAAACATAACGCCTACGTTGCTACGCAGGGGCCTTTACAGGAAACTATAGGAGACTTTTGGCGTATGTGTTGGGAATTGAAAACAGCCACCATTGTAATGATGACTCGTTTGGAGGAGAGAACACGCATAAAGTGTGATCAGTATTGGCCTACACGAGGCACGGAAACGTATGGTCAAATGTTTGTCACTATAACCGAGACTCAAGAACTGGCCACATATAGTATACGTACTTTCCAATTGTGCCGTCAAGGCTTTAATGAGAGGCGTGAAATTAAACAATTGCAATTTACGGCGTGGCCTGATCATGGTGTACCCGATCATCCAGCCCCATTTTTGCAATTCTTACGGCGTTGCCGCGCTCTTACCCCACCGGATTCGGGACCGATAATTGTGCATTGTTCAGCAGGAGTTGGTCGGACTGGTTGCTATATTGTCATTGATTCGATGCTTGAGCGTATGAAACATGAAAAAATTGTTGATATCTACGGTCATGTTACCTGCTTGAGGGCGCAACGCAATTATATGGTACAGACTGAAGACCAATATATATTCATACACGATGCCATTTTGGAAGCCATCATTTGCGGCCATACCGAGGTGCCTGCTCGTAATTTACACACACATCTGCAAAAATTATTGACCACTGAACCCGGTGAAAATATCACGGGCATGGAAATTGAATTCAAGAAATTGTCAAACGTTAAAGTCGACTCTTCCAAATTTGTTACCGCTAACTTGCCGTGTAACAAACACAAAAATCGCTTAGTACACATTCTACCATACGAATCGACTCGGGTATATTTAACTCCGATTCATGGCATCGAAGGCAGTGATTACATCAATGCAAGTTTCATTGAAGGTTACCGTTATCGTTCCGCCTATATAGCGGCTCAAGGACCTTTGCAAGATACCGCTGAAGATTTTTGGCGGATGTTATGGGAACATAACTCTACCATAGTTGTAATGCTTACGAAACTTAAGGAAATGGGAAGAGTAAGTATAGCAAAGAAAAACAAAAGTTTTTTTTTTTCAGTAAAAAAAACTTCATTTCTTGATTCACCATTTAGGAAAAATGTTTTCAATATTGGCCTCATGAACGTTCGGTTCGTTATCAGTACTATGTTGTTGATCCAATAGCTGAATACAATATGCCACAATATAAATTACGTGAGTTTAAGGTAAGCTTGAAAGTTATAAAATATAAAAAATCCAATATGAGAAAAGTAGCCTTTGCTTGTGGCGCCTGTGCACAAACTTGTGTTCGAGCATCGTAAATAATAATAAAAAGATTTATCTGAATGCAAATGCAAATTTGTTCTGTTTCCTCTGTTGCTTTATTTTTTATTTTTATTTTTTTTTTTACTTTCTTTTTTCACCCGCTCTCGTTTATTCATAGGTAACTGATGCACGTGATGGCTCCTCACGCACTGTACGACAATTTCAATTTATTGATTGGCCCGAGCAGGGTGTACCGAAGTCAGGTGAAGGCTTTATTGATTTCATTGGTCAAGTGCATAAAACAAAAGAACAATTTGGCCAAGATGGCCCCATTACGGTGCATTGTAGTGCTGGTGTTGGTCGTACCGGTGTATTTATTACCCTAAGCATTGTGCTGGAGCGTATGCAATACGAAGGCGTGTTGGATGTTTTCCAAACGGTACGCATACTGCGTGCTCAGCGACCTGCCATGGTGCAAACAGAGGTAAGTTAAACGTTGACAATAAAACAGAGTACTTTTTAAATCAAAGCATTTTTTTTGTTTTCTATTTTTCAGGATCAATATCATTTTTGTTATCGTGCAGCTTTAGAATATTTGGGCTCATTTGATAATTATACGAATTAAGTTTATATGTTAACTGTTGAACAGTTTTAAGCAAAGTTAGAAACAGTGTTTTAAACAAAGTAAAAAATTAAGGACTTTTTCTTTTTTTTTTTTTCTGTTATTGCCAGTTTTAAGCTTAGGACTTAAAATATAACACAATTAACGCATAATCATGTGCATTTAAAAGATGTTTAGCAACTATATGGTAGCAGAAAAGTGTTGACCAAGTTGCGGAGGAAGTAAAAAAGTTTTCTAGCTGATTAATTATGAGATGAGAATAACAAATTTTTCTCACACTCGGGTAAAACTTCTTCTCCAAGCCTGTTCATAACTTGGCTAACACTTTTTCAGTATAGTTTTTTTTTTTCGTTAAGTTATAAATTTTTTTCTTATCGTATTATTCTTTTAATATTTTCCTTTTTATTATTACGAATGTGTTTTATACATACTTTTGTAATTTTTACTGCCTTATACATGGGAATTATTCGATTATGTGTGAATTCTCTGCCCCCTTATTACATGTAGCACTGTCGCTACCTATTTTCTAATGTTTGCTTTCCACGCACACCGTCCTGCACTACAAATTTTACATTGTTTGCCGCCATTTAGCGAGCACTGCTTAGAAACGTCCTTTTTCTTAAAGCTTTATAATTTCAATTTGCTCTCATCCTCATCATCATTTGTTTTGTAAAGCACCGACTAATCAAGTCGTTAAGAAATATTAACTTGGAATAAAATCGTAGAAAAAGAATTAAAAAGAAAGAAGTGTATTTCGTGGCCTTAACCAAAAGAGCATCAAGACCAATTGGAATGTCGAGGCAAGGGTTTTGCTTTGTAACAACGAATAATAAAAATCAAACCTAATATAAAGAAATTTTTTCTTGTATAACTAACTTTGATCAGTTCCGACTTGCTTTCTTCAATTGAAAGTAAGTAGGAAAGACCAAACGAAGAGTACACTCTAAAAAAAGGAAAAATACATCCCTCTAGAAAAGATACTGCACGCCTTAAAAAAATGCTTTTGGTCAACTTGAAAAATTGTCGATTTGACAGTGAAAAGCCACAACACACACATGCTACAAAAATCGTTTGACAGTTTTGCACTGATTTGGGTCAATTTTCATTTTTTGGTTTCTAACAAATTTTCGTGATAGTTTCTTTCTTATGGAACGATTTTGGATTTTGATCTCCTTTGTAGTTACCTATTTCCCATAACTACAATGTATAGGAAGTGCCCTCAAAAACACACTTGTAGCGTTAACATGACCGAACTAGAACAATTTCTCATCAGGTATTTCAATTTGAAGCGAAAGAAGTGAATCCCATAACAGAACTAATTTTTTGAAGGCTACTTACTCCTACCATGGAAGTAAAGAAGGCTCTTCCCGTTTACATCTTTAAGCATAGTTTTGATAGTTTTCGCAGTTACCGTACAGCTTTTGACAGGCAAACCTGTGCCGAAAACGGAGAGTTTTCCAGGTGATTGTGTTGGCATTAATTTCAATAATCAGAAAATATATATAAAAAAAAGAAAAATATCTTTAACTTAGCTTTTATTTTTACTGTTCGATGATAAAATGCAAAAGTCCGGCCTCGTCATTCCAGTTGGTCTTAATGCTCTTTTGATTAAGGTCGCGGAATATATTTCTATTTTTTTTTTTTTTTTTTTTTAATTCTTTTTCTATAATTTTATCCGAAGTTAATATTTTTTAAGGGTGTGATTTATCGGTGTTTCACAAAATCTGTAGATAGGACTTATGCTCAACCTTTGCATAGGTTCTTTTCTTTTATATGTATTTAAAAATATCCAACTTTATTTTTCAGTAGTTCTTTTTTGTATGAATTTACTTTTCCCGAAAGGTGGAAAATAAGTTTTTTCCTAGTCATTTTGAATTTCAAGTTCGATTTTTTCTAAACACTCACGAGATTTTATGTACGAGCACATAAACGTAACTTCTCTCTCTATCTCTCTATCTCTCTCTCTCTCTCTCTATAATAATTCGCTCTCCGTTGTGATGAAGTTCGCCCTATTTAATATAGAATGACGACACATAATTTCTCACATTCGACTCTCTAAGCCAATTGATTTTATATTCCCCCTCAAGGTAGTTGTTAAAAACTTTTCGTGGCACATAATGTAGCGGCATAGAAAAAGTCTGTTAGCAACGAAGAGAAAGTTTCAACATAATAGGCCCTAATGCCGGTAATGCTAGTGCAAAAAATCTTATCTAATCCATTTCGAATTTAATTATGAATCGATCAATATTGTATATCAATCAATTAAGTAAAATAATTTCTTTTCTAAAAACTTGATAATCTTCAAAAGAGAAAGTCAGCAATACATTCGAATAGGCCAAAGCGTATTAACTATGAAATATATATCTCTATCGCAAAAGGTAACAATTTTCAACGTTAAACGTCGACTAAATTATCAAAAATGTAATCAAACTATGCATGAAACCGTAGATGGTATGATCTTTGCTTTGTTGCAAAGATCAATGAAAGACTATTAACGTATTATTAAGACGAGAAACAACTTTAAACGAAAAAAATTAAAAAAAAAAACAAAAAAACAAAACTTATATTCATTTATTTAAGTAGAGGAATTCAAAATAATTGTAAATTAATACAGATGTATGTATGTATTTTTTGTATAGTAGTTAAAGATATTCTTGTTCGAATTTTGTACTCGTTTGCATGATTATTTCAGAATCTCAACACAACAACATGTGCAGTCATTATTGTTCATTTTATAATTTATATATGATATAATTTTATTAAGTTTTTAGCTTTAATTCTTAGATATGTTTTAAAAAGCCATTCTAAATAACTGTAAACTTTCCATTTTCTACTGCCAATATTTTATACTTTTACTTACTTACTTACTTACTTACTTAAAAAAGCAGCTAAATATACATTTTTATATTCACTTGAAAAAGTCCGCCCGCTATCCCCTTAACTATACATATATATTCATTATTATCGCGAAAAGTGAAATCATTCTTGTCTAGTGAATTACGATTTGCAGCTATCATCTAGTAAAAAAATCTCGACTTCAAGCACAATCGTCAGTTTATGATCGAAAATCAGTATACGTCACAGTGTCAGCCAAGACGTAGGTATTGTATTCCGTTCTTTTTTCTTTTTTATCTTTAAAAAAACTGTTCAGCGCAAAAGTACTGTCATATCGTCCAAAGATGTGATATAATATATATCCTGTTTACGATATGTTTATGATATATGTGACAATACGTACGATATGCGATATGCGATATGTATAGGATTTTTCATATTATGCGCCTGATCCTTTTACTAAACTAAGACAAATAAAAATAATAAAATTTTTATAGATTGTGGAAACCTTCATTAAGGAAAAAAAATATGATTCATCATATGCACGCCATGATTGCGTTTACAGGCATTCATGCAAGTATAAAAAATTTCGATTGTGTTTTTTTTTTTTTTGTACGTTAACTCATTTAATCGTTCCTTATTATTAATCCACTTGCGTATTTCGACTTTAATAACTCAACCTTCCATTGTAAGCTGCAGCTCTGCGTCCTGAAATTGACGTGTTTACTTTATTCAAAATAATCCGAGCAAGAGTCGCAATGATTTCGAAACTACCTCTGTATTTTGTTCTGAGTTTATCATGAACAGAAATATTTCGCCTAAGTTTTTTACTAGTCCTTGAATTGTTAACTTATTTGAATGATTTGGAACACCAGGAAAAAAATCATGAAAAACATTGATCTTTACAATAATTTTGAATGGGTTTAACGCAATGTTCTATGTCTGTACGTATTCATGGTTAAAATTGCTCATCATGGCAATTGGCAAATGTCGGTATGATGATATTCGAAGATTGTTTTCAGAAGGTATTTAGTAACGATATCTACGCGCAAAATTTGAAAACCTCTATATACACAAATCTACATATGTACATGTGTATAAACTGATTATTCTAAAAATTGATCCTAGTCGAGAATAAAGAATATCACTACGAAAACTGATCCGCTCTCGCGTACCTCAGATAGTCGGCAAAGTAACTATAGTGTTCTTATTGATTTTATTGTATGTATCTTATTTTTGACATGTTAATATAGTGAATACAAAACAAATAATTTTTTAAATAAAATTTTCTTTTCTTTTGTTATTTATTTCTTTTTTTTATCGAAATTAATTTCAAGCAGTGAATTTTAATTTTCAAAAGACTCACGAAGTTGTTTACATATTCTTAATCGGCGCGATTCCCTGATTCAGTCAATCCGTACCTCTCTTTCAAAATTGTAAGCAAAATGGGAAAAGATTTGAAATTAAAGCTTTATTTAGGTATACGTAAGCCCATTCCACGAATTGAGTCTGAAGATTGGCAGAATGTGTCCGCAAACATGTCTTCAAAATACGCAAACAACGCACAATATTTTAAAAACTGCAATTTGCCAGCATAAGCACATTGGGTGACCGTATAAAAGAACGCATTTTAGTGCTCTACAATCCTTATTAAGGAATTAAATTACTGTAAATTTTTCAACAAATTAATTTTTTAAATATTTCTAGAATAGCCTGCGTATTTCTATGGATACAGAAATGTAGATTAAATGGTTTTTTTTTTTTTAATTTAAATGTAGACAAGTTATGCTGCGTGCTGTAGAGTCCCTTAACCAGTTGACTGTGTTGACCTATTTAGCGCTAAATGCGTATATGCGTCAAACACAAAATGTATATAACATGAAATGAGTTTGTAATGAAATCATTTACTAAAATGACAAAAATATTTTCTAAAATACAATATTATGGCAAATACACTTTCATAATAACAAAACTTGATGAGGAGTCCCAACAAGGATAAGTCACGTTGCTGGTGTACATCTTCCATCTGACTTTTCCGCGTTAAGACTAGATATTTTACATAGTTGTTAATAGGGATGATATTGCCATTCAGAAAATAATTGAAGAAGAAGAAGTCTTACTTAGCGCGAACGTAGTATGCGCAGATTTTTCAGCATTTATTTTGATAATTCACTTGTTCTGCCAAAGCGAGATAAACTTGTCACTTGAAGGATATGTTCATGAGGACACTAGATATTTCGTGTGCATGTGCCACAGTTAAAACATTACCAACGACCGGAAAATCTAAAGTCAAAATATTATAGAGTATTGGACACGTCGTTGAGGCATTCCTCCTTAAATATCCAAAGTCAAGTTAAAAATGTCATTAAAGTGATTGTCAACCGCGGCGTTGTCAGGAAAAGGAAAAACTGAACTTTCAATAATAACTGAGTTAAAAAGTGTATCATTAGTAGCGTGCTGGCGTTTCCTATGAGCACCACTTTCAGCAGAAATTTTCACCTCAATTTGCGGTTTATCTCATTCCTGTAAATATTTGCAGTGCAGCATATATATATATATGCATCGGAATTGCTTGATTGGTTCCGGTAGATACGTTATTTTGTGCTTCCGCTCCATCGTTCGTGTTTGAGTTGCCCGTAATTAAGAAGAACAAAATTTTTTGCAAACATAAAATCTCACTGTCATACTACCATTCATTCATTCATGCATAATGAAATTTTCAGTAATCTTCATCACCTGATGGAAAACTAATTCTAAAGAAAGATGTTAACGCATAATAAAACAACAAGTTTTCATTTTTTCCTTATTGCTTGGCGATACTATCCTATCTATTAAAGTTTAATATTTTAATACCTAGTGTGCTTCCTAGTTATGCATTATTTATTTGTGCTTATCATTGTGCAGAGATTTCAAAGTTTCAAATTTCAAAAGAGAAACATGAGTAAGAAACAAAAACAACCTTCCAAAGAAACTTTAAACAAACGTAAGCGTTCAGGTTTCTCTTCTATTCTTTCTTTCGAATCAAATTTATGATTATTCAATAAGTTCATTAGCATGGTTCAATAACTTGTGTTCCAGATGATGTAAACTCCAAGATATTCTTATCCTTATTTTATTTGTTTTCTTTGAAACTTTTTTTTATATCATTTGTTAAGTAAATTTAAGTGAAGATGTATTAAGAACGATTTTAATAATAATGTAATAAGTAAGTTGTACATAATCTACTTAATACTTCTTTGTAGATACATACATGAAGTTTGCAAGCAAAAAAAAGGCGAAATTTTTATATTTTCAATGGCTCGTAATACAAAAACAAATTTTACTGTCATCTAACTTTTCTTAGCGCAAAAGCTTTCTCCGTAAACACTTTCGATATGTCTTTAGTTTACAGTTTTTAGCATTATAAAGATTTTGATTTTTATTAAGAACTAGGATTTGTTTTTCTACTATTCACGCCATGCGGTGGAAACCTGAAAAAATTACGTATCATGATCAATTTGACTTGAAGGGCATTATGACTGAGTTATCATCACATCACTTAACAAGACTCCGACCTGACACACATGTAGGGCAACACAATATTGACAGATCGATTTGATTTCTGGATAGGATCGGCCTTTAAACGTTTTATGCCGAAATTTCACGACATTCTGACAATTAGTTTATAAGTTGTTTACTATTGCTTTAATGATGCAACATGTCAACAACAGTCGAATTCTGACGATCAGAGCGCTTGGCATCGCCGATGTCCATGCGACCGCATTTAAAACACCTACAAATTATAATATTTCCGACAGTTAAGAATCACCATGACATCTTTCAATCTGATGCTGATTATTAAAAGAATTTTTCGCATCAAAATGCAAGGTTTGATTATATTATTATTCTATTCTTTCGAAAATAACAAAAGTAGCTGAGGGACACTACAATTGTAATTTGTAAACTAGTTGATAACTAGATGTCATGAAATTTTGACATGTATATTTTTAAAGGCTGATCCTATCTAGAAATCATATCGGTCTGTCTGTCAGTAGCGGTGCCTTACATGCGTTAGATGGAAAACCCATTGAAAAATGTACGATCGAATCTTTAGCTCAATAAAGCTGACATTACTTTTAAATCACCAAATACCAATCGTTTTTAAAAGACAATCACCTAGAATCTACCTGAAGGATAATCCTACTTTTTTCTATAATTTCTTATCGTTTTAAAGGATTAACGCTAGCTTGTTTAGCCAGAAACAATATGCTTTCCAAACCGATCTTATTAATATGACGAATAATTAATTTTGTCAGTTTGTTTAATTTTTAATTATTTTACTTTCCACGTCGCCTTCTTAATTTCTATATGCAGATGGCGATTTTTGTTATCAAACAGCTTTCTTCACATAAAAGTGAAAAGCAAATGATCTAAATAAGTCGTTAGCATTATAGTGATTGATCAAGTTCAACAACTCATTTCCCATCAGAGCCTTTTCGAGGACTGAGAATAAATTTTACCCATAATCTACATTATCTACATGCATCTACTGAAAGTATGTAAAAGCATTTTTTAATCCTTTTCAAGTGGTACTAGCGATTAGACAAGCTGACACACTGTATATACTTTTCTTACCATACATTCTTTCGAGAATGCATAGGGAGCCTTGTCAATATTGTAAGTGATATCGTACTTAAGATTCCTCTTACTGCCTTCTTACCGGCAACCAAGCGCGAGAATCCCCTCGTCGGCAATTCTTTCTTAATCAAGATGTAGATAAGCATTACTTTGTGTAGTTGGGTTACAATCTCTACACTCATTGACATAGATAGAGCACCAATAGGCTCCCCAAGCCGCCTTTTTTCGCTTTAGTTGCTATAAATCATCATCTGCGACGTGCTGACCTTTCGATTTAATGCCTTCCATGGGGAATAAGGGCCCAGGTAACCAATACGAGCTCCGTACGAGGGGACAGACTGGTTAGTTCGCAATTCGTAACTGTTACATTTACACTCAAAGAGGGCTATGTTTGCCCTCTACGGTGCCTAATAAAGTTCCCTATAATATTCACTTTTTTTTTTGTTTTTATGCTCTAAAGGCAGTTACAGTTGAATAAAAATAGTCCTGGAAATTTCAATTAAATTTTAAGTTTAAAAATATAATCTTTTTGACTTGCGTAAACTTCGTTTATATACGTACGTAAATATATATATATATATATATATATGTTACATAAATAATTATAAATATAAATAAATAAGAAGTTAATAATTAGTCTTTTCTTTTTTAGAGGTGTACAGAGGAAGAGAACATAGCGAAGAAAAGCTGCTAAACAATAAAAAGAAAGCAAAAATATATATAAAAAAAAGAGTATATAATCCCTTAACCTCTAAAAAAAAAAGAAAAAAATTGTAAAAATCTTGATTAAAGTAGGTTCCCATACGAAAACAATAAGAAAAGAATAGAAAAGTAATTAATACACTGATTATGTATAAATACAATAAAAAAAAGCAAAGGAAAGGAGAAAGAGAATGAAGAAACATAAATATATATATATATATATATATATAGATATATATACACAAATGTAGCTAATAAATGTTAATTGATATGTAACTTAGCCTTTAGTTCTAAATACAATAAAGAAAGATGAGATTAATGAATAACCGTCGAGAACTGCGTAATATGTAATATTTATATAATCTATAAAAATAATATAAATCACAATGAATAGGAGTATAATAAAATTATATAAACAATTAGATTTATAAAATAAATATGTATACATTATTATACGCATATTATACGCATGCGGGTGCAAAAGTAAGTTTTAAACATTCGGTTACAAACACAATAAGGTCTTGGTTGTAATAAATTTGAGTTTTAAAATTCATTTAAATTTTTATATCTAAAACTACAAACAAAAAAAAAATAAATAAATAAATAAATACATAAATAAATAAAAAACAAAAATTTTCGGTCTTGTAAAAATTAATAAAATTCATTAAATTTATTTATAATTACAATATAAAAAAAAAAATAATAAATAGAAAAAAAAAATGAAAACTAATTAGAAAATAATTGAATAAAATTGTAATAAATGAATTGAATATGAAATAAAAATGCTAAGTAAAACTATCGAAAAGTATATTAGAGATTAAATAGAACAAAATATATATATTAAATGCAGTTATAAAATAAAATGAAACAATAATATATATATGCATAATGTATATGAATAGAAAGTAAAAAAGAAATTAATAATTCAATAAAATAAAATAAATGACACTAATTGGAATGTTAAAAAATGTTGTGAAGGTAATGAAATCTATATATAATAAATAAATCAAAGAAAATAATATTTAAAAAAAAATGAATGGGCTTTTGAATCATATCTGTCTGCATTCCTTTATGCAAGCAGCGAGAGTCATCTTGTTTTTTTTCGCAAGCGAGAAGCAATTACTTGGAGGACGTAATGGTACACAAACATATACATATGCATACGCATACATTTACAATCAAGAGACCGCGAATTTTGTTTAAACAAAGAATTTCTTCTTTTTGTACCCATCAGGGGGAAGAATTCATTTTGTTTGATGTCCGCCTGTCCAGTTGTCCTTGTGTCCGTCTGCCCAACTTTGGCAGAAATATTGCAAGTTCTTGCACTCAGGTTAATATTGCAAATGGGCGAAATTGAATAGAACAGAAGCTCGCAGTCGAGTCTGATGAATACAATGCAACAAATTCGAGTTCAATGCTACTAACACATCCTGCACGTGCTTTGCCATCATTATTCCGTAATTTTTTTTGTAAATTGTTTCAGCCCACTTGCATCGATGATTGTTGTAGCATTCCCTGCTGATGGTTTCGTTTAGTTGGAACAACTCATGCTACGCCACATCCGTTTGACCGCCCACGAACATTCAGTTTCATACCTGATGTGTAGACCTTCCACTTCTTTTCATTGATGCCTTGAAAATAATATGTCACTTATCCTTCGCTTTGAGATAGATAGTATCTAGCTTTTCTCGAAGGGTTCTGAACAAAGTGCCCACATAAAATAGCTTCTTGCTGGGAAGTTATATCCCAATATCCTAGCAATTGATTTCGAATATCACTAAGAGAAGTTTTTGTGCCATCCACCATAGGATAACGGTAAATTCATTTCCTCTGAACGTTTGCAACATCCAAAGAAAGGCTTCAGCGATCCTGTGAAGTAAATATACTCTCGATCAACATGAAATTTTGACTTACTTTAAATATTGTATGTTTGTCTATTACTTTTAATAATGTCTGTGATAAACATGCTCTTGGTTGTAAAAATGAGGATATCGGGTTAATACAGATAAGAAACAAAAGGGATGAGATAACTCGCGGTCGATTTCTGCTCTGTAATAATAAAATTTTGTAAATTCTTCGGGCGATTCTACGGTACATATACCTGTACAAGCGTGAAAGAGTTTGCATAATAAACATAAACCACGTTTTTGAGATTCTTGTCTTTGCTAAAAAAAAGGATAATTTGCTAAGGAAAGGGAGAGATCGAATAAAATTTGAAAACATAAACACATAGAATGAACTAATTCTTAACTTGTGCTCGCAAAATCCAGAAACAAAAGCTAAAAAGAAAATCTAAATCACGTCTCTGGGTCGATATCATTGCTTAATACTTTACGAAGGAAAACCAACTTGGTCCCAACTTTCTACTTATCACTCATCTCCGATTAAGTTATAAAATCAGCTAAAGTCCACAATTAGCAAGAAAACAGACAATATTTTCCTTTTTTCTCCAAATTATATAGTGATACCTTTAGACCGTGAAGGTTCCCCCTTTCCATATGAACTTAAAAAATGTGGTTGCATTTAATATTTATTTTTTTAATCAAAGCGCTTCAATGTCACTGCTGTCCTCTTTTTTTGTACCCACTGTAGAGAGCTGTATTATCGAAGATTTGTAAAGCCTTCCGGAGATCTTTTACGATGTACACAAATGGATGGACCTTCGCCGAAATTTTGCAACTAAATATTAACCGAAAAGCTAGCGATGAGCATGTCGCCCATAGACCGTTTGACTTTTAATAATTACGCGCAGTAACTTTAAGAAAAGAATGTCAAATTTCTTTAGAGCTTGTGACCGCAAACTAATTAGTCTGTGAATTTACTTAATCCTCTTTGGAATGCCATAAGTCGGAGATTAGCTAAGGGCTTAAAAATAAACTGAGAAAAAAAAAGCAAAAACAAATTGCGGTAAATGCTTTGTTACAAGCAGGTATAAAAGCTCAGTTATTTAAACTACGGCAGTCATAAGCTTGTCGAAGAGTTCATTAAAAAAGAAAAAGAAAGAGTTCGAAAACAATGTAAAAGGTTAAGAAAAATCATAAAAGAATTTTTTTGCTTCACATAAACTCAAAAATACTAGGCGTTGCATGAGCCTATAATGGGACCTGAAACATATGCGAGTTATCGGAATAAGTAATTTTGCACTTTAATGAAACTTTATATGAAATACTTGTTAAGCGTTTTTCTAATTCGCATTAAAGCTCTTTTGCGCCTAGCAATGAAAAGCCTTACTTGGGTTGGAATTATCCTCTGGAATATCAACATATGGTTCATCAACATTGGCGTTCATTTCCTGTACCACCGATTTACTATCATGTCTTTCTCTACATTATTTTTGTATTAATGCTCTTGGGTTCTTTATTCGGTAATGGCTTAGTTTTATGGATATTCTTAACGTAAGTTTTCATATTACTATTGTATTAGCAATTACTTGATCCTTTTTTTTTTTTTTTTGCATTTATTACAATTAAAAATTAGTTCAAAAAACTTGCGAACTCCTTCGAATTTATTGATCATCAATTTGGCGCTTTTTGATTTGACTATGGCAGCAAATATGCCGCATTATTTAGTCAATACGGTTTTGGGCTATTTTCCAGGTGGAGACTTGGCTTGCGATATATACGCAGTACTAGGTGGCATTTCTGGTACTGGAGCCGCTATATGCAATGCTCTTATAGCCTACGATCGTTACAAGTAATAAACTGATTTAATATTAATACTTGTCGTAATGCGAATCTTGGACACTTATCATCCACTCAGTAATATATTAGTTTTATTTTTCTATTTTTAAGTAAATAGAAGGATGTAGTTGTGGACATGAGGTAAAGCATAGATAGACCTTAGCAGCTTTAAATGTTTTTGTATCACTAAGAATTTCATGCCTTCAACTCATTTTCTATTCCTGGGGGAAGGATCTAATGTCATAACCATTGATAATCTCACTTTACTTCGTTGTAAGAGCTATTTGTTTGGTATTTAATTTTTTTTTTATTACGAACTTTTACTAATATTAATAATATTTTATCCTCTATTATCCTTTGTTGGTGGGTAAAACAGAAAATTGTTTTTTTTTCATTTATTTAAAATTTTAACTGAAATTTTTCATTTACAGAACTATATCGAATCCCATTGATGGCCGCTTAAATTACTTTCAAGTTTTTTTATTGATTGCTTTGTCTTGGGTATGGAATATACCCTTTTCAGTTCTACCATTTTTTCATATGTATGGCCGTTATATACCAGGTATAGATTTTTTACAGTTTTTTAATTTTTTTTTTATTGTATTATTTCCAAATTCTTTAGAGGGATTCTTAACCAGTTGCTCCTTTGATTATCTGACGGATGACGAAGAAACACGCTATTTTGTTCGTGCTATGTTCGTATGGGCCTATTGTATACCTTTAATAATAATTTGTACTTCCTACACGAAACTATTCTTTCATGTACGCGATCACGAGCAAATGTTAGCTGAACAGGCCAAAAAAATGAATGTCAAATCATTATCAGCAAATTCGAATAAGGCGGGTTTAAGCGTGGAACTTCGTATAGCTAAAGCATCAATGATTATTTACCTGTTGTACATTTTCGCTTGGACTCCCTACGCTACAGTGGCTTTATTGGGAACTTTCGGTTATCAGCAGTTGATAACTCCGTTTGCCTCGATGATACCTTGCTGTTGTGCGAAAGTGGTATCTTGCATTGATCCATGGGTCTATGCTTACAGCCATCCCAAATTTCGTGCGCAACTAGAACAAAGGGTACCTTGGTTGGGGATACGGGAGAAAAATGCTTCATCTAATGCAACCCTTTCCGAATCAAACATGAACGAAGTTGATGTCAGTACATTGTCCGCAGTAAACTAATGCTTGAATACTTTTAGAAAATATTACGCAATGAATTAAAAAAGTTCCAAAGATTAAAAAAAAAAAAGTCATTGTAAAAAGTCATAAAGGCTTCAAAAATCAAAAAAAAAAAAAAAAAAACTGCTTAATAAAAATAAAGCAAAGAAAGAGTAATTGTTTTGAAAAGATATCTTAATAAATTTACGTTATTCGAATTAAAGGGCTTCGCTTTCTAGGCAGCAAGAGAGCTTTCTTTATCGAAGAAGATGAACTAAATTTCTGTCTTTATAAACAAAAAGCTTTTTACATGCACACATTGATAAAATAACTTTCGCTCGCGACGAAACCGATAGTTAATAAATGTTTTTTATTGCAGCCCGTAAGACTCTCTTTCGTGGCCATCATTCATGTGTAAATGAAAATGAAGCAAGAAGAAGCAAATTTTTATTTTTAATTATTTGCAGCTGTCAAGATCCGAAAGCACCAGCTAGTTCTTCTCTCCGATGAATAAACAAACGAATCAAATATTGAGGAAGTAACGATCCATACATGTAGATTTTATTTTCTTCTTTTTTTTATTCATGTATTATTTATGTATATCGGATGTGTACTTATATTTGTTTCTCTTATCAAATGTATTAACAAAATGGATATAACGAAAAACGTTGAGAAATACAAATTTAAACTGAAAATATTGACGCTACTTTATTCCTTCTTTGTGAATACGTGAAGCTAGAAAAAAAACGAAATTCATCAAGCAGTGCAGAGTGCTATCAAATACGTGAAGGAAATCCAGTCAAATGGAAAGATTACTTTCAGACATATAATGACTCCCCTGTTATCGTAAACTACTAAGAAGAACCCGACGAAAGCTTAGGACGAAAACAGAACAGCAACCCAGTAAATTATGTTTTGTAGTGTGTTACAAGTATATATTTAATCTGAAATAAAAACAAAATCCAAAAGCCTTCATAAAATCGTTGTCAAAACAAAATAGACTACTCAGACGTAAAAATTTTGCGTGCATAACTACATTAAGTATTGCTTGTGTTACCGTCTTCATCGCATTTGTTCACAACTGAACGTGATTAGTTGAAATCAGTACCATCTTGTTGAGTAATTGAACCCTTATCATGTGCACATTGAGTTTTCAATAAGGTATCTACTTTTTTTCTTAGCTATTTATATACGAATTATTATTCAATTATTTATTTATTTCTATTTTTTATATTTTCTTTTCTTTTCGTTATAAGCTTAATACTAATTTTAAGAATAATTACTATAATGTTTACTTCAAAGAGTCAATAGAAATCGGCTGTTGATTTATTTTAGTTGATTTTCATCCGTGTGTAAATAAATAAATAAATAAAATAATTTATTGTATTTCTTCACCGATAATAACTTGCCTCGAATGCTTTATCAATTTTTTTCTGCTTATCTTTAAATTTGGAATCTATGATGAGCTAACGAAACCAACTGTGCTTATAATTTTCGAAGCATTGCCATATGGAAAAAATGAAATTAATATTACGGGTATTACGTGAGAAATTTTTACAAAAATAAGAAGAGAACCTTTTAATATACCTTATATATAGCCGTGGTTTGAAAAAGATTTCTAACTAACCCCGACAAAGGCAAAGAACGATTTTTGCGTTTTCGTCTAATATTTTAAATTAATTTAGTCTACATATTGTTGTTGCATTTGCTAACGAAAAAGAAAATAGTATTGTGAAGTCAATGTAATAAAGCCTTTTTCGCCTGCATTAGATTCTTCGAAGCTTTGACTTTGGGTTAAGCGAAAGCACAGAAATTTTTGTGAACGCTTTTTGAACGAATGGCATTCATTCCATTTTCCTAAAAGCTGCTTCTATGATACACAATTTCTAAAACAAACTTGATTACTTGCCTGAGCACTACTTGTAAGGAATTAAATTTGTTTAAATTTTTTCTTCACCTACGCCGTTTTGGTTCTTCTATATAAGAATAATCAGGAACAATACGGATGGAAGCATCGGTGTATTGTATCGATAGGCTCTGGTATTTGTCTCTGACTTTTCAAATTTAATCTTTTTAGGGCTTATCGCTATGTGCTTTATTGCCTATATTCGATAACGTTTCATTTAATATTCGCTTCAATCTTTTTCATAGAAAGTACAAATTCTGAGTAGATTACTTTCATTGTATCCACAAATTTATTAGCCCTTATACAAAAGTAATTAAACAACTAAGCAGTACTACAGTGTTAATCATTATTCTTTACTACAATTTAATCAAATCCCAACGGAATAAGTTCAAAGGCTCGATAAACTTTAGTACAATCTTCCTACTGTTTTCAGGCACAGTCATTACACTTAATAAACAAACTGCACACATTGCTAATAAAATAGTAGAAAAAATACCAGGTGTTTACAAGACACTTGGTAATAACATTGTACTTTCAGTCTAAGATGGGGACAAGAAAGCTATCTCATGCTTAAATATTTATTTCTAAGCGTATACAGATAGTTACATAGATGGATTTCTATTAAGTTACATGCGCTATTTTATCTACCAATTGTGTGCATATTACATCGATGTTGTGAATTCCTAACACGATAAATAATTCACAATAGTTCATCATCTAATTTATATTCCCAACTTGGAACTGAATTATATTCATAACTACTACTTTTCAACTCAAGGTACTAACGAGGCCTCAAGGAGGCAACGTTGTGTGCCTACAATAACTGACTGTTATGGCTTTTTATGATGGAGGAAAAAGCGAATCTTCTCCTTCTCATATCAATCCCTTCAAACATACATTCCTCTTGCTTTTTTTTTTTTGTTATTGCCTTTTACAGAGAGAATAAGTTCTTCTTTAAAACTAACGTACAAGCGAAACTGATTTTAGGAAGTAATTTCACACATGTTGCATCAATTAACAACTCAATGCAACATCAAATATATTCACATAAATGTTTATTGAAGTCATTGGTAATTTCACCGCGAAACTTAAGTCTTAAGTGGCGAATTAATGTAAACGAAACAAGTAAAAACATTATAATAGATCATGGGCCAACAACAAATAAATACTTTGAGTCATTTTGTTTATTACAGTTATATAACGACTCTTCAAAATAAAGCGTACAGAAAGTGCATTTTCAGTAGCGTCCGCCCGTGAGAAGCAACAATCACATATTGCCTTTGTTTTGAAACGTAAACAATGGGACGTGTAACGCAAGTTAGAATTTGCCACAAGAACCATACGATACCAGATTTAAGGCAACAACCACATACAGCACCAGATTTACAGCTACAAGCACACAAGTGCCGCTCCAGATTTACAGCAACAACCACATATTCGTAGCAACGAAATACATATGTAAAACAGCTGACGCTCTCTGCCGGCTTGCTATCCAATTTTTGTATTTCGACGCATGTCAAAGACGTATAGAGAGAGAAAAATTTTAAATAAACTAAGTTAACAAAACGGACAGTTTTTGGCAGCAAATTTGGCCAAAATCAATACAAAATTGCAATTAAGTGTTTCAGGGAAAGTTTAAATTAATCATTGGAAAATTAAGAAAAATAAACAAACGAAGTAAAATTTTGAACGAATTGAAAATGAATTATATAAAACCCTTTTGGTCGCGCTTCACAAGACGGTTTACTAAAATCCAGAATAAACCAACCAATTCTCCACAAACTAAAAATGCTATAACCCACCGCCTAAAAGAGTGGAATCGAAAGCTCAAGCAAGCAGGAGTAGGGGATAGAGAAACTAATATAAAATACCTAATGGAAAGTGCGATAAGTAAAAACTTGGTGAGGGTGTTTTGGGTAATGAGCTTACGGAATCGTCATTCTAAAATTTTGTCCTTACAGCCCTCATACGACAGTATAAAAGAATTAGAGCTTTCTGAAAAGCAATTAAACAGATTTGAAGAACTTTTCAAGATGCGCTGTGATCGCAGACCTTTGCAGCATATTGTCGGCGTATGGGACTTTAACGGATTACCGCTGAAAACGAACCCAGCAGTTTTTATACCACGTCCCGAAACTGAGCAATTTGTTTCTGAAGTTATACGGCATTATCGTAATATTTCAAACCCCATTGAAATGCTAGAAGTCGGTTGCGGTTCAGGCGCCATATCAATGGCTATGTTGCGATCTATACCATTTATAAGGTCTTCTACTGCGATCGATTGTTGTGATGATGCCATTCAGCTGGCCAAAGAGAATGCTATCAAATTAAAATTAAGCGACCGTTTCCAAGCCTTTAAGCATATGGTAAAAGAAAACGATTATTTACCAAGTCCGCTTAAAGGTAAAACGTACGACTTGATTATTTCCAATCCACCGTTTGCTAGAACCGATGAATTGTCTTGGCTATATCCTGAAGTGAAATGGTATGTAAAGAGTTAGTCGTATGTAATCGACACAACGAAATTTTTCATTTTCTTCTTTCGTATAGTTATGAAAATCGTATAGCTTTGGATGGGGGTTCGGACGGCTTAGTTGTGGTTCGTTTAGTACTACATTTATCTCGTTTTCATTTACGTAGTGGCGGAAAGCTATGGCTAGAATTGGGCAATGATCAGACACCTCTAGTGAAAACTATTGTAAATTTAAAACATGCAGAAAACTTGCGGTTTTTGAATAGTTATAAAGATCGGTACGGTCGTGAACGTTTTGTAGAAATTGAAAAAACGTGAATATTTTACTGGATGAAAACAATAAATTCTAAAACAAAAACGGTTTTTTAAGGAGAAAAATTATTATTCAAAATTTCCCGCGAGGTCATTTCAGAATGTCTTTTAAATACCAGAGGTTCACTAACTCTTATTAAAACCGAAGCAAATAATGCCAAAATAAAAATAAACAGTAATTTACTGTAAACCTCTTCTCTTAATAATTGTACAATTAATCGCATCTGGTAATGCCATTTTTCGTACAATTATGCTAAACATCAATTAATTTAAAGGAGAAAACCAAATAATCTTACATTGTTTTCGAGCAAGAACTTCTTTTGCTTTTTAAAAGCTTATATAAAAGTGCTAACGGATAATGTTAAAATCTTTCACGTTCGATACATTCAAGCTACGTTCAGCTACGAAACAAATCTTTGGAACACATCAGCACTATTGTGCACTGAATGACAATCAAAGTCATGGCCAAAGCGTGGAAGTAAGAAAAGCGTTAGAAGGATGGGACGAAAAATTGAAAGAAGCTGGCGTCGGTGACATTGAATTTAATTTAAAATGTTTGGTTGCTCATGTACTTAAAAGGAAATTCGTAAGTAAGAAGACGTCAACTTAAGATACTATTTCAGTAAAATTCTTTAGCTATGCGTTTTTCTTAAGTATGTTCGGAAAAAATACAGCAGGAAAATGTAGTTCTTTTACTCTGTGATGGGTATAAGAAGTTCGGTCACGACTGAATATAATTTTCTTACTTATTATTAATAAGAATTAAAATATTTTAAGAAAATGGATATACAGAATAGTTGAAAAGAAAATCTTTTTCTACCAAAATAAACTAATTTTTTTTTTCTTATAGAGTACGTTAAAATCTTATAAAACGGAGAAATTCACTGCCCAACAGCATTCCGAATTCTCACGTCTCTGCGAAGCCCGTTGTGCCCGTATGCCTTTGCAGCACATATTGGGCGAGTGGGATTTCATGGATTTAACTTTGAAAACAGCGCCAACGGTATTCATACCACGACCGGAAACCGAAGAATTTGTATCGAAAGTTATAGAAGAATACCGAAGTGTGAAGCAACCAATTGATATGTTAGAAGTAGGTTGCGGCTCTGGTGCCATATCCTTAGCAATATTGAATGCTTTACCTCAAGTTACAAGTACAGCAATTGAACGTAGTAAGGTAGCTACAACTTTGGCTTGGGAAAATGCGAAATTCCTAAAACTAAGCGATCGTTTCACTCCTTATAATCACACGACTTCAAAAAATAACTATTTACCTAAAGAGTTGGCGAATAGAAAATTTGATTTAATTGTTTCAAATCCTCCATATGTGAGAACAGAAGAGTTTCCTTTATTGCAACCCGAAGTGACACTGTAACTATTTCCTGCAGCAATTTATTAATACATTATATATCACAAATTAATTTTTGTTGCAGCTACGAAAACCTAAATGCGTTAGATGGTGGTTCGGATGGTTTGCAAATCGCTCGTTTGGTTTTCGATTTAGCTTGTCTACATCTTCGTCCAGGCGGAAAGTTATGGTTAGAATTGGGCAGTGAGCATCCACCATTAGTTAAAACCATAATGAATTTACAATACGAAGGCCGTTTACGATTCATTTCCGGCTACATCGATCAATACAAACGTGACCGCTTCGTGGAAATTGAAAAAGTCTAACATTAAATTATATTTGCCATCGTAGACTATGTATATTAATTTTTGTGATTCCTTTCATAGAGTAATAAATTACACTTTAAAGATTCTACAATATGTATATATATATTTAATGGCCGCGCTTAAAGTATCGAGTTTTTTAAGGCGGGCCCGTCTTTCTTCTTTCTTAAACCCGCTGAGATTAAGAAATTAAGGGCTACTTACATTCACAACAATACTTCCATAACACAAGATGAAGTCTTAGCTGATCGTTTAGGTTTAATGCCACTTAAAGCAGACCCCGACTATTTGATATCACTTACAAGTCAATTATGAATTTGAAGCTGAAAATAAATATGTGATAAAAACTTTACTCTATTTAGCAAAGTACATATATTGTATATATATACTATATTCTATGTGTAACGAATATACGCTTATTCTCAAAGCGGCACAATACATGCATAACAAATGAGAACGAATATACGCTTATTCTCATAATAAACTAACACAACACAGAAATAATAGTTTATAATATGAATTTTAATTTTTTGGTATTTTTTGTTTAATTTTTTTGTTTAATTGATGTTCTTTTCTATAATTTTTTGGTACAATCACTTCTCTTATTAAAAAATTTTTCTTTGTCAATTTTTCGCAAGCGCTTGCAAAATGGTTTTTGGCTAAAAAACCGTTAGCTGCCTATTTCTTTTACATCAAAATAAAGCAATAAGAAGAAGAAACAATAAGAATGTACGGAGAATATGTGAAGGAAGAACTCTTGGAAGGAAATATATCCAAACTAGAAAGAAATTGCTAAAATTTGCGGATGTGATCGTGGCACCAGCGATGCATCTAAGTGTAGGATTGTGCCACAAAAAACAGTAGAAGGGCTTGGTGATATCCCTGCTGAACACTCTGGGAGATTTTTTTTTTGAAGGTCTTTCTAATGACAGCCAAATTGTATCGTCATAACATTAAAGCTGAATCTATTGGCAAGCTAAACATTTGCGAAATCTTTTTGATGATGCCGACGTAGCAATGCCTAAAATTGGCATTGTGGAAGAATTCCAAGGACAGGTATAACTTTCTTAAAATTACACTAATGTTGCAATTAATACTAATGTTGATTTCGCTTGGTTGTTTTTAGAAACGCGATATAATATTAATCTCAGGAGTGAGATCAAGCATGGAGCATGTACTTTAGGATTAGGATTCATACAAAACGAAAGGTCAACCAAACTCGCAATTTCTCGGCCTCGTTGCCTTCTTATGATATACGGCAACCCCGACACACCTTTTTTGGATCATCATTGGCGTATGATCATAAATTACTGCATCGATAATGATGCCTACCTCGGTCATTTGCCAGCAAGGTTGTCTGACCCACCAACACTAGCCGAAGGAACAGTTAATACTCAAGATAATTAATTACTTTTGGCCTTAATATTCATTTTTCATTTTTTAATTAATAACATTAAGATAAGGTAATTGAATTACTTTTAATTATTGAATTAATTTTCAAATTTGAATATGTATTTACTTTAGTTTCAATTTTTTTTTGTTTTGTTTTGTTGTTGTTTTGTTTTATTGAATTAATTTTCAAATTTGAATATGTATTTAGTTTAGTTTCAATTTTTTTTTGTTTTGTTTTGTTGTTGTTTTGTTTTTTTGTTGTTCAATTTGTTAAATGAAAGTTAAAAATGTTATGTTTTGCGCCTTAATTTTATTTTTTATCTTAATTTTATTCTTTGTTTTCTGTTGTGCATTAATTTATGTAATTTATGTTTAAATATAAATGAAATAAATAGCTTTATTTATACATTTAATGGTTTTGATGGTTTCCTGATTGTTTCCGATTGTTCTTCCTTGACTTGGTCGCTTTTGCTCTTCTATCATTTCCTGCAGATGTATATATAGAAAATTTTCTTAGTCATAGATTCTCAATGTCATACATGCTTGAAAAATGTGTCAAAGGTTAATATCGAACATTTAAAATTTCTTGTATTTTACAAGTTAGCTTAGAACTAAACCGTCATAATTTTTAAACAACGCCCTCGCTAAATTCCCTGTTGAAAGGCAAGGCACAGAGTCGCTTGGTAAATGGTTGAGTGCCCAACTAACAACTTAAATGTTAACGCCAATCAGCTGTGTTATCTAACGGACCAAATTATCTAACGGACCAAATTGTAAGAGAACTACTTACATAAAATTTATGGACAATTTCGTTTACATTTTATTTATTTTCTCGATAAGGGTCGCAATTGTTAACTTACGTATTTCTTAATCGGATAATTCGTCTTGTTTGGCATTCATTCATATTAAACATGTAAGTGAAGGCAATTATTCACTTCGTACAATTTCTTTGTGCACTTTTAAAATGGCTTTGATTTTTCGCAAAAATGAAGGCGCCGAAAGTTGTTTATTTTATTACTTAAAAGGTTTCCATTTTATACCCTTAAGAAAGGATCAGAACAAGGTGTCAAGTTTATCGTCTTCATTTTACGTGGTTAATTTGCTTGAGCCCCAGAAACAAAGTTAAAAAATTTATGAAAACAAAATTCTAAAAATTGTTGGGAAAAAAGATCTCAAATTTTGTCCGAATATTCCGACTGACGTAATTGAACGTGACCTAAAAGGAACGTAAGCTTCTTTCTTGGTTTTAAACTCACCGTGAAAGGAAAATACTTAGGAAACCACGATACAACAATAGGCACAAAAACTTACTTGTGAACGATATTTGCACAACATTTTTCCTAACTATTTTTGTCCTTTCTTTTAAAGATACCCCAGTAATGAATTGAAGAAAAGTTTTGTATTCTTTTTTTTTTAGGTTTTCTTTTGATTTGGTTTCATTACAACTTCCACCAATTATTTCTTATATAAAAATATAATTGATTTATGTTTCCTTTGTGGAGAGAGACTAATTTTTTTATATTTTAATTAATTGATCCCCTTAATATATGTTTGGGATTTTGATTGGTTTTAATAACCTAAGTAATGCTAAAATGATGCTTTGTAAAGTTGTTCGTAAATGTATTTGCTTGCAGTAGCTTATAGTAAATATGGTACAAAATCTTAGCTCTCCAATATGTTATTAGATCTCTCTTTTATGTTATTATATATTATTGAGGATTACTTGTTGCTTTCCGAATGCTTTCATTATTCTTTAAAAGAAGAATCATAAAAACGGACATCGTATGATTAATTTAAGACAAAAATTAATAACAAAATACCTGGAAGTTCAGTAAATGCTTAAAAGCTACTATACTAGAACGGTCAAAGGTGAACATGCACTTGTTGAACTTAATTGAAATGACAATTGCGTAATTCATTTGGGATTAAGAAGATCGCTTCTTGCAGCTCACTTCAAAGAGATCAAAAAGAGAGCCCATCTTAGCATTTAAGCAAATTTTTTAACATATTTTCAATTTGTTCACTTAGCAATCAACACACAAGTTAAATCTAAGCCATTTGCAGCTATCTCGTTCTAAGCGTTTACTTTGCGTACTCTTTCTTTTACTTATTCACTCTCTTCTTTTTCGAATTGTTACTTATTAGTATCCTTGGCCCGTGCACACACACACACTTATACACAAATGGTTAATAGCTTTTCCCTTTTACTAAAGTTTTCTTCAACACATCTTCAAAGTTTTCTGTTCTTTCATTCACGGTGTTTTTTTTTTTTTTTTTCCAATAATTTTCATTCATTCACACAATTTGCGTACGATTCCTTTTCTCATAGTTTTTCGCTCTTTTTTTGCATATGTAAAAGTATGCACAAGCACTTGAAATAGACTTTATGTATATCCATATACGCGCGTGTGTATATAGGTGCTTTGGCGTTATTTGTTGTTATATATTTTTTTTGTGTGAGTGCTAAAGCAAAGCAAGGCAAAAATATTTGTGGCTGTTGTTGCTTGAGCCACGCTAAAAAGAGCATTGCGGGAAATTAGCACTCAAAATGAGGATATTAAACTTTTATATATACAAGCACACCCATTCATATATATATATATATATATATATACATATACATGTATATCTACAAGAATATTTGTTGCTCTTGAACCATTGTATCGTATTATGCTGCTCATATTACTGCTGTTACTTTCATAGAAAAAGTAAGGCTTTGATTAAATACTTGCCAATGTCAGTTTAGTGGATGCATATAACACATCACATATCCTTAAGAGGTTTTTTTGTAAGTCATTTGTAATCTCAGCGTGTTTAATTGCTTGGAAAAATATGATTATGCTTACGTGCTGCCGACAAACCAATGTTAGCGAGTTTTTACAAATTTTTGTAAAAAATATGAAAGCCTCTTATTCATGTATGCAATTTATTTGCGCGAATTTTTTTCCTCTCAATGTTATTATTTACCAAGGATGGGCCTATGCCCAGATGCGATTTTAAAGGAAAGCGTATATTGCAATATTAAATTTTCCACGAAAATTGTTTATTCTTGCAGTCAAGAAATTAAGAGCTTTAATAAAGAGTGGTCCATCATTTTTTTCATTAAAAATGTTTCATGTGCCGCCCACAGCTTCATCTCTCTTATTAATCGGCCAATTTTAAAGCTCAAAATGTTTTGCATGAAAATCAAAATATCCTATGAGCATTACCTCATTAATTAATTCATTAAATTATTAATTAAATTAAAATTATAATTAAAATTAGAAATGATAAATGCAAACAATCAGAATTATTAAATCGATTTTAGTCACTAATCGGTTGTCTTAACAAAGTCTCCGTTAGTGTCTCTTCGTAACAGAAATTTATTTTGCAATTATTTTGCATTTTTTTTTGAGATGAGGTGTTTTAGAGTTTCGCCTTAAGCCGATTATAATTTTCTTGCTTGCTTTTTATGATTTTAAACGATTGCTTTACTTTATCGTTTTTCTGTTTTACAATTAATTTTCTTGTATTAATTGTTTATGATTTTTTTTTTTTGTTTTTTTTTCTTTTTTGTTTATTTTTGAATTCATTTTTGTTGTCGTCTTTGTTATTTCATTTTTGTTTTTTTTTTTTATTATTCTCGACTTTCAATTGTCTTGGTTTTTGTGCTTAGTAATAACATTGGAGCTTCAGCGTTTTCAGAGTGCATTCAACTTCAAGGT